CATAACTGATGTCACGAAACAATCCTGTTGGGTTTGACACTGGTTCCGCATCAGCTGTGTGTGGCAGGTGGTTGTGAAAACAGGCTCCGGTGTGAGGTCTTGCGTGCTCTGTTGCTCCACATCCGTCTTTGTTTTATGCAGAGAGAAGATTGCTTTATTTCCCCCCTTAAATAGGGGGCATGAGGTTGAATGTATCTGGGATTGGTCTAGGGTTCTAGCATGGGAGGAGGAGTGCGGAAGGAAAACTTAGAGAGGATAGAAGGACCTCCTGGAGGGAGGGAGTTGCCCTTTCTAGGTCAGGTAGGGCGATAGGGGGGAATCCTCTTTTCTTTTTGGAGACAGTCTTACTATGTCGCCCGTGGTAGAGTGCTGTGGCGTCACAGCTCACAGCAACCTCAAACTCTTGCCTCAGCCTCCCAAGTAGCTGGGACTACAGGCACCCACCACAACACCTGGCTATGTTTTGTTGCAGTTGTCGTTGTTTAGCTGGCCCAGGCCGGGTTCAAACCTGCCAGCCTGGGTGTATATGGCTGGCTCCCTAACCACTGTTCTATGGGTGCCGAGCCTCTCTTAATGATTCTTTCTGTAGTGGGTATGCATTCCTGCATCTTTCTGTAGTGGGTATGCATTCCTGCATCTTTCTGTAGTGGGTATGCATTCCTGCAGTCTGGCACTTGCTGAATGCAGATTGTCTGTTTCCACTATCTCTGCTGCATTTATTTGCTGGAATTCTGCTATAAGGAGCACTCACCCTGTGATCTCATTTGCTTACTCACCTATTTGTTTATGACTGAATTTGGGCTTGTGGCTATTTATTTTAATTCCTCTATGGGTTATCTGTTATTATTACTATTTATTTTGGTGGTCAAATTGTTCCAGATTTGGCCATTGGAGATGCCTCGAGCTGATGCCCGTGTCCTTTCAACATATCCTCATCTTTTTTTGAGTATTTTTTGGATGAACCATAGATGTTCCTGGTTCAGCCCATGTTTACCTTGCTCATGTCTAGAAACAGCTGTTTCTCAAGTCCTGGTTCCTTTTATTGGGGGAATATGATCTAGAAACCAGTATCTGTGGTCACTGCTTACTCAGTATCATTTCTGCTAAGCCCTCTTAGTAGATAGAGACTGGAAATCGATGTATATTTACAAACCCATACACATCTCCATGTATGCTTTCATCATCACTAGATGGTACTCATTATTTGACATACAAGTTTAAGGTTGCGCTAGTCATTCAAACGGAGGTGTGAAGTAGGTACTAGTCTGTGCAAATTAGGGGAGAGTTCAGGAGTTGTAAAGTGGGAGTTGGTCCATGGACAGATTAAGCAGTTGAAGGAGGGAGCAGTCAACTGTGTTCAGTGCTGCTAAAGTAAACACGGGGATGGAGCCATTGAATGAATCCCCATGGAGGTCATTAGTGACCTTGATGAGAAGGTAGTACAGTCAAAGGAGCTGCCTGGAGGGGGTTGAATGGAGAATGAGAAGATAGGAATCAGAGGTGTTGATTAAAGTAACTCTATTGTTGTCAAGGAGAGAAAAGAAAAAGGGCAATAATTGAGGGAAGAGGGGGTCTGAGGAGTCAAGAGAAGTTGGTTTTGTTTTATTTATTTATTTATTTATAGGCAGAATCTTACTCTGTTGCCCAAGTGCTGTGGCCTCAGCCTAGCTCATAGCAACCTCAAACTCCTGAGCTCAGGTGATCCTCCTACCTCAGCCTCCCAAGAGTCTAGGACTACAGGTACCCACCACAATCCCCAGCTAATTTTTAGTAGAGACAGGGTCTTGCCCTTGCTCAGGCTGGTCTCTGACTCCTGAGCTCAAGGGATCCTCCTGCCTTGACCTCCCAGAGTGCTAGGATTACAGGTATGAGTCACTCCAGCCAACTAAGAGAGCTGTTTTTAATATTAGAGAAATAATAGCATTTTTACAATGAGTATAGGAGAAATAGAAAATATATGTACTATATCTATGAAAACATTGAAAAGCAGTCCTGGCTTTATAAAATGCTGTGGTAAGAATTTTCTTTCTAATGCACTTACAGTATAAAGAAAAAAAAGGGGGGGCTATGCCAATGTCATGTAGAAATTTTGATCTGGTACGGTGGCTCACACCTGTAATCCTAGCCCCCTGGGGGACCAAGGCAGGTGGATCCCCTAAGCTCAGGCGCCTGAGACCAGCCTGAGCAAGATCAAGACCCTGTCTCTAAAGATAGCTGGGCCTTGTGTCAGGCACCTGTAGTCCTAGGTACTTGGGACGTGGAGGCAAGAGCCCAGGAGTTTGAGATTATAGTGAGCTTTGACACCAGTGCACTCTACCCAGGGCAACAGAGTGAGACTTTGCCTTAAAAATAAAAAGGAACAACGTAGAAATTTTAAAAAATACTAAGGAAGCCAAAGGAACAAATGACACGTGCTATTTTTAAGCTACCTGCTTTATCTGGGAATGTTTTTATTTCACCTTCATTTATTTTTTAGTTTTTATTTATTTTTATTAATTTTTTCACACTCACTTATTATTGGCTGTAACATGACATTATCATATTTCATGTAGGGAGAAGAATATAATAATTGTACTAACTACTTATATATATGTACTTTTTCAAGAATTAACAACTTATTAGTAATAGCCAAGAATTATCTTCTTTTTTATTTTTTTACTTGCCTCAGCTTCCTGAGTCACTGGGACTACAGGCAGGTGCTATAATGCCTGGGTCGGTTTCCTATTTTTAGTAGAGATGGGGTCTCACTCTTGCACAGGCTGCTCTGGAGCTCCTGAGCTCAAGCAATACACCCACCTCAGCCTCCCAAAGTGCTAGGATTATAGGCATGAGCCACCTTCATTTTTTAAAAGATAGCTTTGCTAGATGAGGATTCTTGGTTGACAGTTATTTTGGTTTTTCCCTCAGTGCTTTGGGTCTCTCATTGCACCACTTTCTGGTCTCCATTGTTGGGAAGTCAGCTGTTAAGTTCATTATCGTTCCCTTATAAGTTGTGTCATTTTTCTCTGCCTGTTTTCAGGATTTCCTCTTTATTTTTTGGCTTTTAACATTTTGACTATTATATGTTTGGCTGCAGATCTCTCCATGTTTATCCTTCTTGGAATTCTCTGAGTGTCTTGGATTGGTATGAAATAATTTTTTTAAATCATATTTGGGAAGTTTTCAGCTATTATTTCCTTGTACCCTTTTTCTGTCTCTTTTACTTTTTTCTTTCCGATACTTTTCCTTACGTGTATGTTGGTGCATGCCACCTGTTTTGTTAACACGCCATCATGGACATTTTTGATCATGTTAAGGTGCTAAACATGGTTATAATGGCCAGGCAGGAATCTATTATAAATTGTTAACTAATCTTCTGAGGTTGGCCACTTCCAATTTACCCTGTTATCAACACCACCACAGGAAACCACCTGTTGATGTCTTTGTGCACTTGTCTGATGATACTTTAGGATGAGTTCCGAAAGGGAGAATTTTAAGGTCTAAGGGTATGAACTTGATCTTGATGCAGTTTTTTGGGTTGTTCTTTGGAAAAGAATATTCCCATTTCTGTTCACCAAGTGGGTATATATTCTCATTTCCTTACCTTTGTCAATACTTGATATTTTCATGGTTAAAACTACCCATCTTATGTGTGGTAGGATGCTTCCTTATTGTTTTCATTAGATTAACTTTGTTATTAGACAAATCGCACCACGTTTTCTATATTTTGGGATCCTTTGTATTTGTTCTCGTGTGACCTTCCTGTTCTTACTACTCGCCTTTGTTTTCCTGCGGTCTGTTAGTCTTCCTTGTTTGTTTTGAAGAGCTCTTTAGCAAGGATGGTGTCCCCTTTTCCTGTATAAACTGTACATTCCCGCACATTTTTATTTTTGTTGTAATTTGTGGCATTTAAATAGGCTTTCAATTTTGATATAATCAAATTCTTATTTTTAGAATTAATTTCATAGCTTTTTATGCTCAGCGAACTTTTCCCAGGCTGGCACCAGATGCATATTCACTGACATATCATTTTATGTTTCTCTTGTGGTCTTATCCTTTCCACGCTACTCCCGACCCGCCTTTTCTCACACATTTACCCACTTCTCTAACTTCATGCTATATTCAATTCTTAGGTATATTTGGGCCTCTTTCTGGCCTTGTATTTGATTTTGACCTTTCTATCTTTTCTTGCACAGTCAACACTATTTCAATTATACTTTTAATACTGTGTTTTGATATCTGCAAATGCATTTCTTTTTTATCAAAATTTTCTAGGTGATTGTTACCCAACTATACATATAGGTAAACATTAAACTTATTTAGTCATCTTCCAATGGAAATTCACTTGTGGATTCTGTTTGAAATATTATCAATTTTGTCCATTTCATTTTGTAAAAATGAAGGTCTTCATAGTGTTGACTGTTCCCACTCAGGAATGTAGTACACATTTCCATTCTAAGTTATCTGTTCTTACTCCTGTACTTCATGACAAACACAAAATAGATTACTTTAAACACAATAAATAGATTACTTTCCTAGCTATGAAGCCTCTTGTGTCTTTGCTGGAGGAACGATTGAACTGTGTTGAGATGTAGACATTATTTCTCACCCCGTACATTCGGGACACGTTGAGTGTTTCGGCATAGTCTTCTTTTGGCAAAAGTGATGGAATGGACAGTCTGCCCTTGAATATTCAGGGTGGGTGAACCAAGTCCCGCTTCTCTCTTGCATCTTGATATCGGGTTTTGATTTCATCCCTGCTTCTCTAACCTTGCATGGAAGGAATAAGAGAAGTAAGAAGTTCTGAGCTCCATTTGGTTTACTTCTTCACATACACACTTTTTTATTTGACGTGATAGAGATTAAACCTAATGGCCGATGACCACAAGTAATAAAGATTGATTGCACTTTAAATTTAGTGTCTTACCTTGTCTCTCATAATTTGTTCCGAAGATCTGTTTCATAGTTATGTTAATTGAATTCTGGCCTAATTGTCGCCATTATTTTTGTTCATTTACTAGATTTGCTGTCGCGTTCACAGAGTCGATGAAGGAAATGGCACAAAGGCAGTGGGTATGTGTTTATCTTGTGTTATTATTTTGGTTGTGCTGGTGAAGCTGCAGAACTGGAGAACTGAAGGGCAGTCTTTTTTTTTTATTGTTTGGGATTCACTGAAGGTACGAAGAATTAGGCTACACTGATTGCCTTTGTTAGGTAATGCCTCCCTTATACTTAGGTCCCACCCCTAAGAGGTGTGGCATACACCATGACCCCCCAGCCCCTTCCCTCCTCCCCTGTCCCCACTCTTTCATTCCTCTACCCTCACCTTGTATTACATCATCTACTGCCTTCATATTAGAAGTGAGTACATTGGATTCTTGCTCCTCCATTCCTGTGATGATTTACTAAGAAGAATGTGTTCCACCTCTATCCAGGTTAACACAAAGGATGTAAAGTCTCCGTCTTTTTTAGTAGCTGAATAGTATTCCATGGTGTAAATATACCACAGCTTGTTAATCCATTCGTGGGTTGGTGGGCATTTAGGTTGTTTCACATTTTGGTGATTGTAATTTGAGCTGTGATAAACAGTCTAGTACAAATGTCTGTATGATAAAAGGATTTTTTTTTTTTCTTCTGGGTAGATGCCTAGCCATGGGATTGCAGGATCAAATGGGAGGTCTAATTTGAATTCTTTGAGGAGTCTCCATACTTCTGAAAGACAGTCTTAATGGAACCAAAGGGTTCCCATAGACAATATTGTAGACACAGTAGTATATTGTTCCCATATATTGATATTTTCTGGGTAGCCTTAAAACATCATTGATTTTTTTTCATGTTGTTATTAAATGACAAAAATAGCCCAATAGCCAAATCTTTTAATGTTGTATCTGTTTTCTTTTTACACTCGCAGACTGGGTAATTTACAGGCTGCACTGTAAATGTTGCAGCAGCCTTGTATGCAAGGCGAGTAATAATCCCTTAGATGGCAGAGGTAGTTTCCTGGGTTGGATTATTTATTTGAAAAGCCTTAGTGAGTCAGGGTTTTGCAGATCTACAAGTTAATTCACTTACTGACCTTTGTATTCATTATGACTTAGGGGGCAGGAAGAATGAGCCAGTGGGGGTCTGAGTTCCTAGTGGAGAGTTATGTAAAGACTCCATTGAGCTGGTGCTCGCAATACTAAAAAAAAAGCCAAAGGTCAGTTTCCTCTTTGTTGCAGGTTTTTTTTTTTTTTTTTTCTTGGCTGGGATGGATTTGAACCTGCCACCTCTGGTATATGGGGCCAGTGCCTTACTCCTTGAGCCACAGGCACCACCCAGGTTAGTTTCCTCTTTAACCCACAATGTGTTTGTCCTTAACATTTGAAGGCTTTAGTCTTGGTGGATTTCAGAGGCTTAGCCCATTCTTTTTTTTGTTTTTGAGACAAAGTCTCACTTTGTCACACTTAGTAAAGTGCCATGGTGTCATAGCTCACAGCAACCTCAAACTCTTGGGCTCAAGTGATTCTCTTGCCTCAGCCTACCAAGTAGCTGGGACTACAGGCACCTGCCATAATGCCCAGCTATTTTTACAGATGGGATCTCACTCTTGGTCAGGCTGGTCTTGAACCTGTGAGCTCAGGCAGTCCACCTACCTCTGCCTTCCAAAGTGCTAGGATTACAGGTGTGAGCCATTGAGCCCAGCCTGGCCCATTCTTTATAGAATTTCAGCTTGTAAAATTTTGTACTTGGAAACCACTACTCTGGGACAAGGCCAGCATAGTCATTTGTGGGGCCAGCAGTCTCTTCTTAAAGTTCAGAATGCTATACATAGGTGAATGTGAAGGTTCACCACAGCCAGAGCACACATAATTTTATTCTTCACCTGAGACACATCCCAGGCAGAGAACTGGATTGTATTTCTCTTTCTGAGACAGTTCACTCTGTTGTTCCAGGATAGAGTGGCATTGCATCATAGCTCACAGTCAGTAACCCCAAACTCTTAGGTCTGAGCAATTCTCCTGCCTTGGCCTCCCTAGTAGCTGGGACTATAGGTTCTGCCATACCCAGCTAGTTTTCCTATTTTTAGTAGAGATAGGGTCTCCCTCTTGCTCAGGGTGGTCTCAAACTCCTAAGCTCAAGGGATCCTCCCACCTCAGCCTCCCAGAGTGCTGGGATTATGGGTGCGAACCCCCAAGCCTCACCAGAGGTTGCATTTCTTAGTGCAGTTGAATGAATTGTAAGTCAAAAAACCCAATGAGCTCCCTGGCTTCCAGTTTTAATTATTACACCTCTTTGGTTATCAATCTGCCTTCATAAAGTAGTATTTGAAACCAGGAGTCTCTGGGCATCCCTGGGTCTCTTTCAGGTCCACCACAAGTCAGTCATTTTCATAATAATGTTAAGACATCCTTTGGCTTTTTCATAGTGTAAACGTAATGATGAGTAAAACTGCTGCCACCTTAATACTAATGAAGGCAGTGACCCCAATCTGTGCGGGTAGTCCTTGGAGATTCATTGCCACCCACTTAAGCCAGTTTCACTTAAAAAGTCCTTGATGAAGCCATGCAAATTATTAAGTTTTTGAATATTAACCTTTGGATCCATTTTTAAACAATGCTCTATGTGACAGGAGAAAGGCTTCTGCTGCCGACTATGTGGAACACAATGCTTATCCTGACTGTTTGAATTATAAGCTGAATTTTTTAACACCATTGTTTGCCTGAAAGCGTAACTGACAGACAAACTCCGATTACTCAGACTTGGGTAATTGTCAGACAGTTTCTTAAAACTGAGCAAATAATGGCAGTCACGTCAAGAAAAACGACTGGCAGTGTTTGTTACCAATGATGAATTTGAACTTTCAAGCAAAAATTAGAATTTGTGGAAAGCCAAGAATGAGGGTGTCAGCTTCTCAAAATGCAGAGGTTCTTCCGATGAGATCAGTGATGATATTAACAAATGTGGGCTTTGAAATATATTGATGATACAAAATAATTGTTCAGTGAACCAGTATTTTCAAATTACTAATGCATGACCGCAGAATCACGTACAGGGGAAGGAGCCAATTCACTGATTGCAGTAGCTTTTCAGAAATGGCCACTTGTTGAGTTTTAGTCTAGTGTCCAAGAATAATGCCCGCAATAATCTGAAAACTCCCTCTGTGAAAGAGGCTAGGTTTTCTTTATATACCTCAACCAAAACAACATATTGCAACGGAAGGAATGAGGCTGCAAACGTGGGAACCCAGCTGTCTTCCGTAAAGTCAGACATTAAAGAAATCTCTCACCTGCTGGAGCATGTTTCTTCTCCATGAACTCACTGCCATTTTTTCCTACCTTCTCAGCCTTAAATGTCACCCTTTTCTACAAATCCTTCCTTAACCCTGCACAATTGGTATAGATGAAATGAAATCACTCACTCTACCTGTTAGCTGTTGCTATGAAAGAAACCAAATGCCTTAAAACAAACAGGGTGGCCTCACTCACACCCACACCCCTGGGACCTTAGCAGGCTGGTTGGGCCCCCTGAGGCCTGTCTCCATGGGGTTTATCATCCTTCATCAGGCTGGGCAGCAGGAGGGAGCAGCCCCCAGTGTACAAGCACTTTCCTGATCTCTGTGGTATTTGCTACCATTCCACTGGCCAAAGCAAGGTAAAGGGTAGAGATGGAGCCTCTACCTGGTGATCTGGGGTTGAACACAGGGAGGGGACTACGGCCGGGGTAATCACCTGCCACACTTAGAGTGTATCCCCATGTGGTAGTGAGCTTCCTACGAAAGGACAAGAGGGGGTCACCTATCCTCCCCAGAGAATAACACACCACCTCCTGTCCCAGCGTCTGTTGAATTGAATTTACATAGAGATGGTTCCTCCTTTAGAATGTTTTATTATAGAAAATGTCAGGCATGTGCAAAGTAGCAAGAGTACTGTCATGAATCTGTAGGGGCCCAGCACCCAGGCTACCTTCCTTGATTCTTACTTCATCTACTTCCTCCTTATAGATAAAGACAGACACACACACACACTAATTTTTTTCTGGAAGAATTTTTTAAATTAATATATTTATTATTTATTTTTGAGACAGAATCTCACTGTGTTGCCCTTGGTAGAGTGCTGTGGCGTCACATCTCACAGCAACCTCAAAGTCTTGGGCTCAGGAGATCCTCCTGTCTTAGCCTCCCAAGTAGCTGGGACTATAGGCACCCAACACAATGCCTGGCAAATTTTAGAGATGAGGTCTTGCTCTAGCTGAGACTGGTCTTGAACTCCTAAGTTCAGGCAGTCTACCCACCTCGGCCTCTGAGAATGCTAGGATTACAGGTCTGAGCCACCAAGCCTGGCCTTGGAAGAAAAGATGATGAGCATTTCTTCATGTGTCTGTAGGCCATGTGCCTGTCTTCTTCAGAGAAGCTTCTGTTCAAGTCTCTTGCTCACAGTGAAATGGGATCATTTGTTCTTTTCTTATTAATAAGTTTGAATTCTCTGTGGATTCTGGTTATCAAACCTTTGTCAGAAACATAACCTGCAAATATCCTCTCCCATTCTGAGGGCTGTCTGCTTGCTTTAGTTACTGTGTTCTTGGCTGGGCAGAAGCTTTTTAGTTTGATCAGATCCCAGTAATGTATTTTTGGTGGTGCTTCAATTGCCCAGGGCGGTTGGGGGGTCCTCCTCAAAAAGTATTCTCCCAGGCCAATTTCTTCAAGTGTTTCCCCAGCACTCTCTCCAAGAATCTTTATAGTTTCATGTCTTAAGTTTAGATCTTTTATCCAGTGAGAGTCAATTTTTGTTAATAGTGAAAGATGGAGACTTTACCTCTTTCATGTTTACATGGATGGGGCTGGATCATATTCTTCTTAGTAAAGTATCTCAAGAATGGAGAAAAAAACAATGTACTCAGTACTATTATGAAACCAATTTATAATCACCTACACTTTCATACGAATGATAAAACACAATTATAGCCCAGAGAGGAGGAGAAAAGAGGAGGGCGAGGGGAGGGGAGGGGGTAGACAGGTGTAGGGAGGGTAATCAGTGGGACCTCACCTATTGTGCATATTGCAAGGGTACAAGTCAAATGTTATTAAGAGTAGA